CATCCTGACGCTGCCAATTGGTCCAGTGGTGAGAATCTTTGTCTTCTTGACATTGAGCCTCAGTCCATACTGAAGGCTGCTGTCCTTGACTCTTCGCAGCAAGTGCATGAGGTCTTCCTCAGTTTCAGCAAGCAGGGTTGTGTCATCTGCATAACACAGATTGTTAATAGATCTTCCACCAATCCTGATGTCATAATTCTCCTCATAGAGCCCAGCCTCTCAGATAATCTGCTCTGCCTACATGTTGAAAAGGTATGGAGACAGGATGCATCCCTGGGGCACACCCTTCCCAATTTTGAACCATGCAGTGTTACCGTGCTCTGTTCTGACTACTGCCTCTTGGTCCAAGTATAGGTTTCATATTAGCACAATTAAATGTTCTGGGATTCCCATTCTTCTCAGAGTCAGCCACAGTTTGTTATGATCCACACAGTCAAATGCCTTTGCATAATCAATGAAGCACAGATAGACATTCTTCTGGTATTCTCTGCTTTCAGCCAAGATCCATCTAACATCAGCAACAATATCCCTAGTACCAGGGACAGTGCAGAAGAGGAAAATCCTCGATGAGATGGATTGATCCAGTGACTGGGGTAATGGGAGTAGGTGTGTCAGAGACAGTAAAATTGGCACAGGATAGAGCAGGGTTTAAAGCGTCACTATGAGTTGCAAAGTGACTCGATGGTACATAACAAAAACAACATATGAGATAAAGTCTCACTACTTTTGCTTTAAAGAAGCTTTCTGGCTGTACTTCTTCCAAAACAGATCTATTTGTTCATTTGGCAGTCCATGGTAGATCCAGTTCTCTTTGCCAGCACCATAATTCAAAAGCATCAACTCTTTTTTGGTCTTCCTTGTTCATTATCCATTTTGAAATTACCGTGATTTGATCCATCACACCTTAGTCTTCAAAGTTATTTTCTTCTTGAGCTTTAACACTTTCAAGAGGGATTTTTCCAACTGCAATTTGCTGTTTGATAACTTGACTGCTGCTTCAAGGGGCGTTGATTGTGGTGTTGAGTAGAGTGAAACTTTTCTATTGAAATTTAATCCATGCTTTCATCTTCATCAGTAAATTGTTCAAGTTATCTTCCTTTTCTTTAAGCAAGATTGTGTCATCTGTATATCACAGATTGTTGATGGGTCTTCCTCTAATTTTGGTTCTATATTCTTCTTCATATAATTCAGATACTTGGATTATATGCTCAGTGTACAGATTGAATAAGTATGGGGAAAAGACACAGTTTAAGAGACCAGAACTCTGAATTCAGGGTGCCATCTCGGGAAGTCTTTCTCCCCATTAGCTTTGAAGGAACTTCTTTGCCTTTTCTGAGCTGCTGCTGGACAATACTAATATGTCTTGACATCTCCTCCCATCTCAGTTTCCTAGCTTCTTTCTTTAATCTCTTTGATATCTTAAAAGATATAACTCTGTACTAATCCTGTCTCATTAGCATATCAGATAGTTTTATAACTCTAGGAATAGAGAGCATTTACAACACATTTTGAGAAGACCTAATTCAATCCATACCAAAAAGGCAATAATAGAATAAATGAGCTATTCCACTTAGGTCAGAACTGATTTATAAGAGTGGTCATTTTGTGTAGTCAGTAGGGTGGTATGCTGTTAACCCAAGTCCATGCCTCTTTGCTTGTTAGGAGGCTTTGTGGGAGAAGGATGGGCTATCTCCTCCCGTATGATTTAGAACATTGGAATACCCATGGAAGGTCAGCTGTGAGTTAGTTATGATTCCATAAGAATGAGTTTGAGTTTTTGAGACTCCATGGGAAAAATACAGGCATTTTCCTCTCATGCAATTTATAATTTCATGAATTCACTGGATGGTCAGTTATGAGTCTGTTCTAATTCAACAGCAAAGAGTTTTGAGGGTTTAGGATTTGGGTTTTTTTAGCATATATAAATTAACATGAATTGGTTTAAAATGTAAAGGTGGAAGCCAAGCGATGCCTATTTAATTGATTTATTCCATATTTTCACTAGCTATGTGGCTTGGCACTTCCTCTTCTTGGGAAGGTTTCCATTTAATTACCTTGTGCACCCTATGAGACTCAGGTATTACTAGACTTCCCTAGCAAGTTTACCCTCATCCTCAATTTTACTTCTTTTTTTGCTTCAGTGAGCTCTTAGTATCCATAACAGAATACTGTTTGACATATACCTAAGGCCTACTCATCCCTCAGACTTCACTGGTTCCTAGCTACCCCCAATAGAAGTACCATCTCTAGCAAAAGGGGATCAGACATAGTTGCCTTCTGATGGTCACTCATTTACTTCTGTTTTGAATTGTGAGTCTGATGTCCACTATAAAGGACATTTTTGTTCTACCAAATTCCTAATGTCTAGTTATAAACTATCCTTCATTTCACATACTTTGGGCATACTGTTGGGAGGGATAAGTATTTGGAAAAAGACATCATACTTGGAAAAGTAGGTCAGTGGGAGAGAGGGAGACCTCTAGTGAGTTAGATTGGCATGGTCACTGCAACAATGGGGTTGAGCATGTCAGAAATTATGAGAGTAGCACAAAATAGGGTACAGTTTCAATTTTTGTTCAAAAGGTCACCATGAGTCTTGGTTGACTTGATGGTACCTAACCAGAATTGAAGCTCTCAATGATTTCAGCTTACTTGGATTCACAATCAGCAGTCCGGAAATAATGAGATGTACTGTTTTGGGCAAAGCTGCTGTCTGGGTCCTCTCTAAAATATTGAAAAGCAATGATGTCAGTTTGAAGACAAAGATATGCCTGATTCAGATCATGGGTTTTGGGTTGTTCTCCCCCACCCCCAATCATTTGCTATGTAGGTAATGAATAAGGATGTCAGAAGAAGAATTCATGACTCTGAGATGTGGTGTTGGAGAAGAGTAGAGAATAGCCCATAGATTGCCAAAAGAATAAACAGGTATGTCTTAAAAAGTGCAGCCAGAGTGCTCCTTGGAGGTAAGATAGCAAAGTTTAATCTCTCATACTTAAGACATGCTGTGAGAATAGGCTATTCTGTGGAAAGGGATATCATGATTAGAAAGGAAGAGGGCAGAAGAAGAAAGGAAGACCTCTAACAAGATGGATTGACACAGTGACTGTAACAATGTGCTCAAGTACGTCAGAGATGGTGAAGAGGGCACAGAATAAGACAAGATTCAGATCTGTTGTTCATAGTGTACCAACAACAAAAACAACCTTAACAGGGAGCTCTGGTGGCTTAGGGGTAAGGAATTGTGTTACTAGCAAAAAAGGTATACAGTTCAATTCCACCAGATGCTCCACATGAGAAAGATAAACAATTTCCTCCTGTG